CTGTTTTTTTTTGGTGTGTTTCAAATGAATCACATAAGGTGGTATTTATAGAAAATTTTGAATCTGAGCATTTACTAGGAAATTGCTAGGAAAAGTAGGTACAAAACATGTGTTTTATTTAAATTCGATATTTCCTATCTATTTCCTCCTAATTTCGTAGTAAGCAACTATTTCCTCCTAAGTTCGTAGTAATATTTTATTACGCCTTTACGAGGAAAGTGTTTACTACGGCATTACGAGGAAAAGTACTTTTTCCTCGTAAGCTCCTCGTAAATTTACTAAGGTCTTACGAGGAAAGTGATTCCTCGTAAGTTTTCGAGGAGCTTACGAGGAAATTTGCTTTCCTCGTAAGATCCTAGTAAATGCTTAGTAAATTTACGAGGAAGAATTTTCCTAGTAAAATTTCCTAGTAAATGCTTTGTTTTCTTGTAGTGATAATAGTTAATTTACAGGTTAGCTCATAGGAATGAAATAAACTAAAACTAAAAAAAATTTATTTTTCTTGTAACAGCAAGTTTGTAACTACTCAGTTTGTTTTTATTTTTGTAGATATATAATAAAATCTTAGTTTGGCAATTCACTTATTTCTTCATTTTCTTGTATTATTTCCTTGGGCATAAGTGCATGATTTTCTAATCACTAATGTTAAAAAAAAAAATCTTATGTAAATGTAAATATATTATAAACATGATACAATGCTTCACAAATAATGATGCAAAAAAGAATATAGTAATTAGGAGAATGGTATAATATTCCAAAAAGGTAAAAAAAAAATTCGGAATTGCCTTAGCATAATAGTTTTACAAGCCAGAAAAAAAAACTGGAGTCAAAACAATGATTTATATTCCTGTAACAGAAAATTTGTAATTAATCAGTTTGTTTTTAATTTTGGAGATATATAATAAACTTCTAAAGATTTGTGTATGTTATAAAATCTTAGTTTGGCAATGCAGTGAATTTTTCTTTTGTTTCTCTTATATTAGGAGTTGTATTATTGTCTTGTGTATAAATGTATGATTTTACAATCATTAATTGTTGAGTCATTTTATACAACGATTTTATTTAGGCCATGTTCGTTTTTGATACTTGTCTATTTGTTTAATTACGTTTTTCCATCATGATTAGTGGATTATAGTTTCATCAATTTTCTAGCAACAGCTATGTTTCAGCCAGGCTCTGTTTCAAACCATCGATGAAGAGCCACAACTAGGGCTGGGCATTTTATCCGTTAAATTTGATTCGATTCGTTATTCGTTTCGATTCGATCCGAAAATTCCGGATATTCGTAAACTTCCGAATCAAAGCAAATACTAAAAATCAATATCCGTTAAAGTCGAAGCAAATCACAAATATTAAAATTTTGGGAAGCGGATATCCGATCCGATCCGGAAATATATAAATATATGTATATATTGATTATATTTAAAATTTTAAATCTATAAAATTATAAAATTATTATTCTAACACATGATTGTGAACAGTTCTATTCACATTATTACTTATATAAATGTATTACATAAAAAAAAAAAAACAATTATGACAATTATAATTTTTGTTCTTAACTTTTGTGTTATTATAATTGCAACTTAAACTTCAAATATTACAAAATGTGTAAATTCACTAGTTCTTTTAAATTCTATTTTATATATCACGCAAAAAAAATATTTTTGCAAAGCAAATTTATATCAAAATTTTAAGATTAGTTGTATTAATCAATATGGATTAGATATCAGTAAATATTCGCAAATATCCGCAAATATTTACTTATTTTCCGGATATCCGTTTTTCCGGATATCCGTATTTTTCCGAAGCAAAGCAAATACCAAAATTAGATATCCGTAAGATTCGAAGCAAATCACAAATACCTTGAAAAATCCGGATATCCGATCCGCGCCCACCCCTAGCCACAACGATGGTAGCCTCTATGATGCCGTTGCTGTCGGTGGTGTTCATCAAGTCAAAATGATGGGAGAGAGTTATTTTTAGTTTTTAATATATTATACGATTATAGGTGTTTGCCACAAAGACTTTGACTTGTGCCTTATCATATAATTCAAAGTAAACGATAGTGATTACTTACTTAACACTTGTCACATGACCTTTTCAAATGTGTTTTTATCAATAAATACTTCTTAGTGGTACTTGAAATGAATTCACACTCTCAATTTTCTCTGGATTTTATTTTTCACTATTCGATTTTTTCTGATTTGCAATGGAAGGGAAGTTTTCCTTTGGGCATTACTTAATATGGGTGATGTTATTGCTGTGGCAGATACACGGATACAAAAGCTGCATTCCGAAAGAAAGAAAGGCTTTGTTGGAGCTCAAGGATTACCTCATCTCTGGTGGGATCGGTCCTCAAAGCACAGCCTGAAGAACCAGACCTCGAATACGGGGAGGCAATACCTAATCTCTCTAATTATGAAACTTGGAGTAATGACACAAAGAGCGATTGCTGCCGGTGGAATGGCATTAAGTGCAATCGTACAAGCGGCCGTGTCATTGGTCTTTCTGTTGGTGTTGGGTACTTTCGAGAGCCTTCTCTCCTTAATCTTTCATTTCTGCATCCCTTTGATGAGGTTCAAAGTCTGAATTTATCCGGGGAAAGATACGTCCAGTCATATAGTGGCTTCTTCGATGATGTTGAAGGTATTCCAGGCTTTTTATAGTGTTTAGTTTATACCCCGTGGTCTGTATAAACATTGCTTCAAATAGTTTTAGAATGTTAGATGATGAGTTATATCTTATTTTTATATAATCTGTTAATGAGATATTTGTTTGCAGGTTACAAAAGTTTAAGGAGATTAAGGAACCTGGAGATTCTGGATGTTTCACGGAATGATCTCAATAACAGCATATTTCCTTTTCTAAATGCCGCTACATCACTTACAACTTTGTTTCTCCGGGGTAACTTCAGAGATGGCCCTTTTCCTATTAAAGGTGTGTTTTCCATTCGCCATGACCCTTCTCCGGGATAACTTGTGAGATGGTCCTAACTGTTGAGTTGGTTTATGCCATTTCAAATATCATTTCCTTACATATTAATTAGAAGAGTTGCGTTTGTATCTCTTTGTATTATGGCAGAGTTTAGTCACCTGAAAAAACTGAAAGCTCTGGATCTAAGTTTAAATAATTTTTCTGGCTCAATGGAATTACAAGGTAAGCTAGCTTTTTTTTCTCTCTTTAGACAAATATGTATATATTGTAGAATGATAATATTATAATGTCAATCTTTTGGCCTTTACCTAATCCCAGAACTAAAAAACTTGAAAAACTTGGAAGTGTTGAATCTAAGTGGAAATAGACTTCACGGCTTCATCTCAGGTAACATAATAATAATTCTAACCATTTTTTTGGGTCGGCAGAAGATAACTTCAACAGAATTTAATCCGTACACCATATGAACTTACTTTATTTCAGAACTAATGAATTTGCCGAAACTGGAACTGCTGAATCTTGCTCGGAATAATTTCAGCGGACCTATAACAGGTGTGTTTGCTTCACCTCTATATTATTTATGTGACCAACATAACATTTTTAGTGTCTCATGAATTCTCTACAAATACAAGTATTATTATTCTCATAATTTTTTGTTTTCGAAACTTTTTTTTTTTTGAAGCTGTTTGTGAAATGAGGAATCTGCGGGAGCTCGATCTTAGTGAAAATCATTTTGTTGGCCCACTTCCACTTTGTCTAGGTAGCTTGAAAAAGCTACGGGTACTTGATCTCTCATCCAACCAATTAAGTGGAAATCTACCGTCTAGACGGAAGCTTTTGTCGGAGTTTATGATGATTTCTTGTAGTGGATCTAGTTTCAGTAGCTTGGAGTCCCTCGAGTATCTATCACTATTAAACAACAACTTTTCAAGCGTATTCTCTCTCAATCCACTCAACAACCTCACAAATCTCAAGGTGTTCAAAGTTTCATCAACATCTGACAAAGTACAAGTAGAGACAGAGGATAACTCGGAGCCAAACTTTCAACTCACCGTTGCTGTACTACGATCTTGCTCCTTGGAGAAAATTCCTCCATTTCTCGTCTACCAAAAGAACTTGCGTCTAGTGGATCTATCCAGCAACAAATTATCCGGAACTGTTCCTACTTGGCTGTTACTGAACAATACAGAACTTGAAGTCTTACTGTTGCAGAAGAATTCATTCACAATCTTCCAGCTACCTACAATAGTCCATACTTTGCAGGTTTTTGATTTTTCTTCCAATAATATTAGTGGGATATTCCCTCATAATATTTCTCATGCACTTCCGAATCTGGTACATATGAATGCCTCAAGTAACGGGTTCCAAGGGAATTTTCCATCTTCTATGAGCGAGATGAAGAACATTACATTCCTCGACCTATCCTATAATAACTTATCTGGGAACCTACCAAGAAGCTTTCTCACAGGTTGTTTTCAACTTAAGTACCTGAAGCTCTCTCACAACAAATTCAGCGGCCATTTTCTTCCAAAAGTAACAAAATTCATTTCATTAGACGTGTTGAGAATAGATAACAACTTATTTACAGGGAAGATCGGAGTTGGTTTGCTTAGCTCTACTGACTTGTCAGTGCTTGACATGTCCAACAATTTTTTCGCTGGTGCTATTCCAAGCTGGATATCTAAGCTATCTCGTTTGAGCTTCTTATTGTTATCAAATAATTTCTTAGAAGGTACAATACCACCTTCTTTGTTTCTCATTTCGTTTCTAGACCTCTCTGGAAACCTATTTTCCGGAGCCATACCGTCGTCAGAGGTTCAAGGGAGAATTTTCTTCCTCAACAACAACAGCTTCACAGGGTCAATTCCAGACACATTGTTGGAAGGTGTCCAGATACTTGATCTAAGGAACAATAAACTCTCTGGTAGTATCCCTCACTTTGTCAATACACAAGACATAAAGATTCTTTTGTTGAGGGGGAACAATTTAACAGGGTCCATTCCAAGGCAGCTGTGTGAATTAAGAAATATCAGGCTTTTAGATATTTCAGATAACAAGATTAGTGGTTCCATACCTGCATGCCTCTATAAATCATCGGTTCTACGTGGTGGAAAGGAGAGTGATATTATCTATGGCCAATATTATCGTACGTTGATTTTTCATTCTGAATATTACAGATCGACATTTCTGGTAGAGGAGTTCCAAGTGTACTTCGCTGCCTTTCAGGAAATTGAAATAAAATTTGCAACTAAGCAAAGGTACGAGTCTTATAGTCCTGGAGAATCTTGGTATAGTGATTCTTACAGTCCTGAGTCTCCTGACGAGTTTCAGTTAACTGATTCTGGTACTAATACATCTGAGTTCAGAAGAGGAATACTTGATTATATGTATGGGATGGATCTGTCAAACAATGAATTAAGTGGTGTTATCCCGACAGAGCTTGGAGGTCTCTGGAAACTACGGTCCTTGAATCTATCTCACAATTTCTTGTCGAGTTCCATACCATCCAGCTTCTCCAATCTGAAGGATATTGAGAGCCTTGATCTTTCATACAACATGTTGCATGGGAGCATTCCTTACCAGCTAACTAGCCTTACATTTCTTGAAGTGTTTGACGTGTCTCACAATAATTTATCAGGAAGCATTCCCCAAGGAAGGCAATTTAACACTTTCAACGAGAGTAGATACTTAGGCAATCCTCTTTTATGTGGACCACCGACCCATATAAGTTGTGAGGCTAAGAAGAGCCCCCCAGAGGAAGCAAATAATGGTGGAGGAGAAGAAAATGAAGCTGCCATGGATAGAGTTGTCTTCTATTATAGCACTGCTTCGGTTTATGTGACTGCATTGGTATGCATCGTTGCACTTATGATATTTGATTGTCCTTGGCGTCGTGCATGGCTCCGCATTGTTGATGCTTTCATCGCTTCAGCAAAAAATATGTTGTTTTAAAATCTTTTCTATCCAAACCAAAGATAGAGTCTACTGTGTTCTTGTAAGTGTATATGCTCTTGGTACATGTCCAAGCAATAGCTTAAATAAAATTACTGTTTCCATACGATTAAGGGTGTTAATTTTCTGGAAAGACTGTGACGTCTTATCAAAGACTTCAAAGTCAACTATAACAAGCACATTTTTCAAAGAGAGAGCTTCTTGTTAACCCATCTGTTATCGCATTTCATACCGTTCTCCTTAACATAACCATTTGATTGTTTTTTTTTTTTGAAAAATAACCATTTGATTGTTGATGTCATATATAAAAATAAAATCCTCTTTATTAACTGTTGTTTCCTTGGCATAACATTTTGGAAATAACTTTGAGCGTATCCATTTTTCATACAAGATGAATTTATGTTAGGAGTTTCACATGGTCTATATGAATCATTATGTCTTTGATAAGACTATAAAGCTACGTCTTTGCATTTATTCAAGAATTTTACGGATATCCCTATAATATTTAGCCTAGAAACAATGAATGGAGCTGCTCTAAGATCTATAGACTATATGGTAAAATAGTGTTCCATGTGGTAATAAGTAGAAACAAACAATGAAATAATGATGTTGACTTTGTGTGTCTAAGTCCTCCACCGAAATTCAGTGTAGCCTACAGAAAGTCTCCCACTGAAATCCAAAGTAGCAAAGTCAGTCTCCCACTGAAATCAACAGTTAGCCTAATTATTTATACAGTGAGTATTTACTGGTAGCATTCAAAGTTATAAATTGATAAGATCAACACGCACTGTATTAATCCTCTGCTTCTTAAAGAAAAAAAATGGGAAAGGAAGGCACTGTATTAATCCTCTGCTTCTTAACCATAAGCTTCAGTGCCATTTATGTTTCTTCACAAATAATTTGTGATGATACTGCTGGGACTTTCAAACGCAGTAGTCCATATGACAAGAACCTCCGTCTCATCAACTCCACTCTAGCTTCTAACGTCACGAACCATAACGGCTGGTCCAACGGTTCGATCGGGCTAGGCGGCCCCAACATAGTCTACAACATGGGAATGTGTTCTTCAGGTGCTGGACCAGACGCTTGCTCCTCCTGTATCAACGACGCGTTCAACAGTTTACTACAGACATGTCCGAGCCAGACAGACGCTTTCTCATGGGTCGGTGATGAGATCATTTGCCTTGTTCGCTACTCTAGCAAGTCCTTCTCCGGGGTCCTAGCCTTAAAGCCTTTTGATCAATTTCATAATAATTTCGATATAAGAAAGGAAGACCAGAAGGGGTTTGATAGTGTGTGGGACGGGTTAATGTCTCGTATGATCACATCAGCTTCTTCCTCGGTGAGAAACAGTTCGTCTAATTCTTCTTCTTCTTCTTCTCAGTTGTCATTGTCTAGTAGTAAATACTATGCAAAGGATGTATCTCCGGTGCCGATTTACGGGAACATTACGGTGTTGATGCAATGCACTCCAGATATATCTTCGAAAGATTGTAAACTTTGCTTAGAGACAAGCGTTAGTTACTATAAAAACGAGCTCCATGGGAAGAAAGGCTGTATTATATTGCGGCCAAGTTGCTTTTTGCGGTGGGAATTGTTTCCTTTCTCTGGTGTGTTTGATAATATTAATTTTAAGCCTGGGCCATCACCGGCGCCTTCACTTCCGCCTTCACCGCCGCATGCTGATGCTGACCTAACCAGTAAAAGCAAAACAAAAGGCAAGTAATTTGTTGGAAATATTGTCAGGGGCATTTCTTGTTTTTGTTTGTTTGTTGGCTATGTTTATGGTGAACTAGTGGTGCAGATACAGGGTTCTCGAGAGGAAAGATAGCTGCAATAGTCATTGTTATGTTCGTTGCCATAATAGTATTTGCCGTAGGTGTAGCTATTTTCAAGAGAAGAAAGCAAAAGCAAGACATTGAACTTCCAAGTGAGTTTCTTTTGTTTCTTATTTTGTGAAAGTCTTGATAGCTTTTGGTATTTCAACTTTAAGTTTGCCACGGCTTAATGAACTTGTCTGATGGTCTTACATGAAGCGGAATCTGTTCAATTCGAATTAAAAACAATTGAAGCAGCAACAAACAACTTTTCAGAGCGTAACAAGCTTGGTGAAGGTGGATTTGGTGAGGTTTACAAGGTAAATATACGTTATATGCTCAGTGTTCACCCTAGTATCTTCTTCTGTGGAAAACAGTTAAATGATGATACCTAATATTTTTTAATTTATAAGGGTATGCTTATGAATGGAACTGAAGTTGCAGTAAAGAGACTCTCAAAAACATCAGGACAAGGCGAAGTAGAGTTCAAGAATGAGGTTGTTGTTGTTGCAAAGCTTCAGCACAGAAATCTTGTTAGACTTCTTGGATTTTCTCTTCACGGAGAAGAGAAATTACTTGTCTATGAGTTTGTTCCTAACCAAAGCCTCGATTATTTCCTCTTTGGTAAGTTAATTTCAGTTATGGCATACTCTTGATATATTATTTATTCTTATATAGGCAAGTGTGATTATATATGAATATACAGACCCTAGTAAGAGAGTTCAGTTGAACTGGACAGTGCGACGCAACATCATTGTGGGAATCACTCGAGGAATTCTATATCTTCATCAAGATTCACGACTAAAAATTATACACCGTGACCTCAAAGCAAGTAACATTCTCTTAGATGCCCACATGAATCCGAAAATCGCTGATTTCGGAATGGCAAGGATCTTTGGAGTGGACCAATCTGTAGCCAATACAGCGAGAGTAGTTGGAACCTTGTAAGTATATACTTAAATGGAGCTGACCAACTTCGATTAATGTGCCATTTTGCTGCTGGTTTAACCTGTATTTTTGCAGCGGTTACATGCCACCTGAATATGTGACCCATGGCCAATTTTCGACGAAATCAGATGTATATAGCTTTGGAGTCTTGATTCTTGAGATCATTAGTGGCAGAAAGAATAGCAGCTTTTACCAAATGGATGGTCTGGTTAACAACTTAGTCACATACGTGAGCAATTATAAACTAATAAAGTTCAACGCTTTGTTTGATTTTTTTTAAACCGTGGTCATAGTTCTTAGTTAATAGATACATTACATATAACTTCTACAGGTCTGGAGACTTTGGGAGAATGAATCATTGCTTGAGCTTGTAGATAATGTTATCAAAGAAGATTGTAAGCGCGATGAAGTCAATAGATATATACATATTGGGCTGTTATGTGTTCAAGAAAATCCTGTAGATCGTCCAACATTGTCGACAATACACCAAATGCTCACAAATAGCTCAGTTACTCTGCCTGTGCCTAGGCCACCTGGATTTTTCTTTGGGAACGGACCAAGATCAAACCCAGTAGCCCATGGATTAGAGCCAGGTCAGTCGAGTAGCAAGTCTATTCCTTGTTCTGTAGATGAAGCAACAATCACTGAAGTTACTCCTCGTTGAAAATTCAACATGTTCGGTATGGATTGGTTTTGGTTGTCATTTGTTTTTTATGTCCGAAGTCAATACGCTTTATTCAAGAAAAAAATAGTGCTTTGATTAGACGTCAGTGACGAGTTTAAAGTCCTCAAAACAGTATAGAAGGAAGATGATCAAGACGCAGATAATTTTTTAGAGGCAGATACTCTCAAATTTTCTTTAGAATTCGATAAAGTTGAACAAAGAAATGAAGTTCTAGGAAAAAAATATTTTATCTGACTGGAATTTATTATGCCAACACTGATTGAAATAGCAGACACAGATCAAAATCACTTTTTAGTTTCGAATTTAAAGCAAAACTTAGACAAAAATAAAGAAAATCAAAATTTACTTTTTCTCGTATTGAAATGAAAAATCGGACATTTCTCACTAAAACGCGCATAAGTCTTGATCCAATCGTTGGATCGACTTCATACATCCTTTGCACCCATTTCAACTATTTTGTGTCAAATCGACCTAAAACCTTACAAAACTCAATAAAGTAATAAAAGATTCTAAACGCATGCACACAATTTGATTTGATAAAATACTCAAAACAAAAGTTATAAACAAGTAAAGACAGCATCCATTGTGAAAATGCAATCACTACATCCAAGAGTTTCTCAAGCTGTATGCTTACATAAATGTGTGTGGTGCATGGTTCACGTAATCTTACATCACAACTATTAGATGTAGATAAGTTTAGCAAAACACGTTATGTCAAATTCAGTTTCTGTGAACAAAAAACTAAAGGAGGCAAATGCCATCTCATCATTCGAAGGTGAAAGCTTTTGTTTTGGCAATAGAATGTATCTTACGCTTAGGATGGGCGTTCGGGTACCCGTTCGGATACCCGTTCGGTTCGGTCCAGATCTATTCGGATTTGGATTTTCGGGTTCATAAATATTCGTTCTATTCGGATATTTTCTGGTTCGGATTCGGTTTGGATCTTTGCGGGTTCGGATAACCCATTTAAATTATTTTTAAAATTGTAAAATTGATTGTATACTTTAAATTTATAAAAAAATATATAAACAAAATAATATATTACAAATAATTGAATAACATAAGTCAAAATACCTAAAATTAACATATAAATTAGTTTGATTTGAATATTTGGATTGTGAATCAATAATTTTTGAAAGTATTTTTGTTGTTTGAGTGATACTTAGCAACTTTAGACATGTGTATTTGACTATTTACATATATTTACAAGTATTTTGAACAACTTTAAAGTATTTTATTTATATTTAATATTTTTATATACATTAAATCTAAAATAATTAATATATATCTATTCTATTAAAACACAAGTGTGACCTATTGATAAAAGTAGAGTCCAATTAATTATGTCAACTAAATGCACTTTTTCATATTCACCGTATTATTTTTGGAATGTAACTACCCCATCATTCCCCCTAACTATCGGCACCCACACTTATAACTGCATATTATTATTTATTAAAACTAATCCAACATTAAACATGAATTAACTCATGCAGTTACGTGTTACTTTCCCTTTCACAATTTGTGTCCTAACAAATACACCATTGGATTAGGCATGGGCATTTTATTCGGACTCGAAGACCCGAACCGGAACCGATCGAAAATACCCGACCCGAACCCGACCCGAAAATTTATAAGTACCTATTGGGTCTAAATTTCTTTTACCCGAATAGACCCGGACCCGAAAAGAACCGACCCGAATAGACCCGGACCCGAAAAGAACCGACCCGAATAGACCCGACCCGATAAGAACCGATTTGTACCCGACTTATAAACATCTATATCCAAAACTATTATTTTTGTGTTATGTTTTATATATCTATACTATTTTATAATTTAGTTGAAATATCTTTTGTTAACAATATTTATTATTATTTGTAATATTTTTAAGTAATATAAAGTTTTAAAATGTAAAATTTAGAGTTTAAAATGTTTTCTTTATTTATTAATAGTTTAATTTAAGTTATTTTATAAAATTTTAGATATATATGAAAAATATTGACTGAATTTGAGTGAGTTTGGACATGTTATGTAGTTTTTAGATTCTAACTACCCAAACCCGATCCGGACCCGATATGGATCCGAAAATTACGGGTATTTTACAGGTATTAGAATTATAGACCCGAACCGACCCGGACCCAGCAAGACCCGACCTGGAACCGACCTGAAAAATCATAGGTACCCATATGGGTATAAATTTCCAAGACCCAAAAGACGCAGACCCGACATGACCCGACCCGAACCCGACCCGAGGACTCGGATGCCCAAGCCTACATTGGATAACTGAGTGTATATATATTATATATATATATATATATATATATTATCAAATCCACGATCATATACACAATTTCATAACTAATCGTAAAGCTATGTCACAACTCTGACCACTATTAAAAAGCCTAACTCACTATGCCACGTTTCAATATAATAGATTTTGTAACCATTCTTTGTTTCCAAAATAATCATAACCAATAAAATAATATAGTTTTTTTATTAACAAAAAAAATAACAGGAACTTTGACAATGATAAATTTTATCCTCTCTTTCAAATTCAGTCACATATTAGTTTGTTTTTATTAATCTAGATACGATTATATTTTCTTATTAATGTAAATAGAATAGATATATTTATTTAATATTAATATAAATTAGTGGTAAAATGGGTTATTAGAAACATTTAATTTTAATAAGTAGACTTTTAACAGAATATATATTTATATAAACTCATTTAGTTTAATAGATTTTAAATAAGTTATTCGATTAAAAAATGAATATTATTAATTTTGGATCACTCTTAACTATTACCCATACTACTATGTGGTATATTACAACTTTTTCCATTGAACTTATTTTCAATATTTAATTGATTAAATATTATGTTAATAATAATAAATGATAAGAAAGGAATATTTGATTAATATATAAAACTGTCGACTTTCAGATTAGCGGCCCCCGGAAATTGTGGAAACATAAAAAAAAGAGTAGACATTCAAATAATCGGTCCAACATTGGTATATAAAAAAACGTACTTACAGAAAAATAAATGATTTTACATGTATAGGTCCAACATTTATTAATTTGAAAAAAATAGACATTGGAATAATCGGTTAGACATAGTATTTAGAGAAATTTTCTAGGATGGACCTAAAAAAGTTTTTGTCACCAATATAGACTTTGAAAATAAAAATGACAAAATATACTTAAATGTTTTATAAAAAGTAAGTAATTAATATATATTTTTACTTCTTGGATTAACTAATCCTTGACCTTTTTGTTTAGAGTTGAGGAGTGAGTTTTGGGGAAAGAGTTTCTAATTTAAAAAAAAAATTAAAAAAGTTAAAATTTTCAAAAGAAAAAAATATTATTTTGGTCCTTTTAATTTTTGAGATCTATTTTTGTGATAAAAACTTAAAAATTGTCTATTTGAGAGAATTGCCTAACATGATTATTATTTAATAAAACAAATAACTATTTTGTATGTTGAATTCTTATCGAGTAACTTCCATTGTAAATTCTTAAATAGTTGGGACCATTTTTTAGATAACTAAAACTGTCAAATGGTTTTAATTCCATAACTCATGTTTCAAATTGAAACCAAAAACAAATAGCAGCACAAAAAAAAATATAATTATACAAACACATAAACATATAAATTATATTAAATAAATATATTCAAAACAAAAAATATACCCGCCCTCTTGAGGGCGGGTCAAAATCTAGTAGGTATATAAATCCCTTTCGGATATATTCGAGTACCCGAAATACCTTGGTTCGGATCGGGTTTGATTTCGGTTCTTTAAATACCAAAATTTGAACTCATTCGAATATTGAATCAATTTCGGTTCGGATTTGATACTACTTTTTTGAATCGGATTCGGTTCGTTTCGGTTCACTTCGGTTCTTCGGATCCGTTTTTTTTTGCCGAGGCCAAGTTACGCTACTCAATTTATCATCATTTTGGATTGAACAGCAAAGACTTAATCTCGGTGATTGAAGAACCTAAGACATAATCAAATTTCTATACATAACTAAATGTGTTAAACATTTCTAAAAAGAAGATTTCAACACTTCAGCATTACCAGATTCCTGATTCATTAGTTAGGACTTATATATATTTTCACGGAGATTTTTTTTGTGTTGATTGTTATATTTTTATCTTTTACTAAATTTCAATTTTGAAGAAAAAGAACTTTATTAAAAACGGGCGGTGATAATAGTGGGCTTTAGAAATACAACATGATTACTTTTCCATTGATCCGCCACGGAAATATTCTTATCACTAATAACTGCAAAAAAAAAGAAAAAACTAAAAACCCTAAGGCACTCTTCTTCTCCTTCTCAGGTCTAAACAAAACAAGCTGCAAACTCTTCAAGCGCTTCTCCCTCTCGATATCTGTAGAGAATCTAAGCTTCTGAAACCATGGCGACCCTCGACATTGATTCCCGTGCTGCTCAGTTAGGGATCGATTGGTCTCAAGTTCATCTCGATTCCATCCATCTCCCTCCTGGAGAAAACTTTGGGATTGAAAGGTGAGAGCTTTTTCCTGTTAGATCTCAAATGCGCAATGTACGAATCTTTTTATGTTTATACATGTCTGAACGACAGGAACTGATTATTTATGTTCTTGTTGTCGTTTGTTTTAGTGATGATGAAGGTGTTTACCATGATGACCAGCTAGAGTTCGACACAGGGTTCGGTAATATCATCGTGGTTGATAATCTCCCTACTGTTGCGAAGGTCAAGTTTGAGAAACTTGAAACTGTCCTGAAGAAGATTTACAACCAGTTTGGCGTTATCAAGGAGAATGGGTTGTGTATGCCTGTTGATCCCAACACTGGTCTCACATTCGGTTACTGTTTTATTGAGTTTAATACCCCTCAGGTTAGGGTTATACTACTACTACTCTCACCTTCCTATGTTAGCTTACGTGGCATGTATGTTGTTGATATATGAGGTTGTTTTGCAGGAAGCTCAAAATGCAAAGGAGAAGACTCATGGCTACAAGTTGGACAAGTCTCACATCTTTTCTGTCAACATGTTCGATGATTTTGATAGGTTGATGAATGTCAAGGAGGAGTGGGAGGCTCCTCAAACCAAGCCCTATGTCCCTGGGGTATGTCTAGTTTTATTAATGTCTGTCAGTGTTTCTAATTGTCATATACCTTGAAAACTTGTCTTGTAATTTAACCCTTCACCGTGTCTGTTCTGTGCAGTTAGTTCTTTGTTTGGATGTTCTCTTGTTGATTTGGTGAATTCTTGTGTTTGCCAGCTGCATCATGATTATCTGTTGATAGATTTGATGAACACTAACACCTAATAATATTGATTGTATAACTCTAGTTGCATGTAGATTTGTGTATTCACTGCAGCTTTTTTGAGGTGTTTGTTTGTTTTCGTTACGTTTTCAGGAAAATTTGCAAAAGTGGCTTACTGATGAAAAAGCTAGGGATCAGCTTGTCATTCGTTCTGGACCTGATACTGAAGTATTATGGAATGATCCTAGGCAGAAGAATACTGAACCTGTTCATAAGCGTTCTGTAAGTTACTTACATCTTCCTGTGATTATCATATATTTATTATCACTATATGTTATGTTACTATCATCTGAACATATGTTCTCTTCATATGCAGTATTGGACAGAGAGCTATGTGCAGTGGTCTCCTCTTGGTACGTACCTAGTGACACTTCACAAGCAGGGTGCAGCTGTTTGGGGCGGTGCTGATACCTTCACTCGTCTCATGCGTTATCAGCATAATATGGTTCGTTGTCTTTCCTATTTATTGTCAACGTAGTGCTTTTGTTTTTCCTTAGTTGTCCTGAAGTTTGACTTTTTTTTTTCTTGTTGATTCCTTTGAAGGTAAAACTAGTTGATTTCTCGCCAGGGGAGAAATACCTGGTAACTTACCACAGCCAGGAACCAAGTAATCCGCGAGATGCAAGTGTGAGTGCAACCTTACTTCTCTTCCTTCCTATTTTTATTTGTATTTTATATATAAGCAAAAGCAAGAGATTCTGAATTCTTTTTCAACTTTCAGAAAGTAGAGATAAAGGTCTTTGATGTGAGAACCGGGAGGATGATGAGAGACTTCAAGGGTAGTGCTGATGAGTTTTCTATTGGAGGACCTGGTGGTGTTGCTGGTGCCTCTTGGCCTGTTTTCAGGTAATTTCTTGAATTTCCAAAAAGTATACAATCAAAATGTATCCTTCCACATATGCTGATATCTTGTTCTGCAGATGGGCTGGTGGAAAAGACGATAAATACTTTGCCAAGCTCAGCAAGAACACTATATCTGTCTATGAGACTGAAACTTTCGGCCTAATAGACAAGAAGTCTATTAAGGTTGATAATGTGGTGGACATGTGTTGGTCTCCTACTGACTCCATCATCTCACTGTTTGTTCCTGAACAAGGCGGTGGGAACCAGCCTGCCAAGGTATGCTTCTTTTATTTCTTATGTCAATTGTTCTGTTGTTAACATGTTGGTATCATTATCTTCAGGTCGCTCTTGTCCAAATCCCTAGCAAGGTGGAGCTGAGGCAAAAGAATCTGTTCAGTGTGAGCGACTGCAAAATGTACTGGCAGAGTAGTGGAGAGTATCTCGCTGTCAAGGTGGATCGATACACAAAGACAAAGAAGAGCACATACTCTGGATTTGAGCTTTTCCGCATCAAAGAAAGGGATATTCCCATTGAGGTTCTTGAGCTGGACAACAAGAACGATAAGATCATTGCTTTCGCGTGGGAGCCCAAGGGTCACCGGTTTGCTGTCATCCATGGTGACCAGCCAAGGCCAGATGTCAGTTTCTACACGATGAAGACTACACAACACGGTGGAAGGGTTACGAAGCTGGGTACTTTGAAGGCCAAACAAGCCAATGCCCTCTTCTGGTCGCCCACAGGGAAGTACATTATTCTTGCTGGGTTGAAGAATTTCAATGGCCAGCTTGAGTTTTTCAATGTGGATGAGCTCGAGACAATGGCCACGACTGAACACTTCATGGCCACAGACATCGAATGGGACCCAACTGGAAGGTACATAGCATCTCTTAAAACTGAACCAGTTCATTGGTGATTTTCAATTGCAGAAAAAGTGATGTTGTTTGGCTTTCTTAGGTACGTTGCAACCGCAGTGACATCAGTCCATGAGATGGAGAATGGGTTCACCGTGTGGTCATTCAATGGAAAATTGCTTTACCGTGTACTGAAGGATCATTTCTTCCAGGTATATAACAAATAAATGGTCTTAAAACTAAGTTTGATCCATTGCTATGTCTAATTTATATATCAATGGTTTGCAGCTAACGTGGCGCCCAAGACCGGCATCATTCTTGTCTCCAGAGAGGGAAGAAAATATAGCAAAGAACCTGAAGAGGTACAGCAGGAAGTATGAGGCGGAGGATCAGGACGTGTCGTTGCAGTTGAGTGAACAAGACAGAGAGAAGAGAAGGGCTTTGAAGGAAGAATGGGAGAGATGGGTGATGCAGTGGAAGTCGCTGTACGAAGAGGAGAAACTCGAGAGACAAAACCTCAGGGATGGTGAGATTAGTGATGAGGAAGAAGATGATGATGAAGCCAAAGAAGTTAAAGAAGTTGAGTTTGAGGATGTTATTGATGTCACTGAAGAAGTCGTCGAAGAATGAATCTAAGTTTCACACTTCTCTGTTTTATTTTTGCCTTTGGTGTCCTTCGGATCTGTGTCTCCTAGACAAAATGTTCTTCTTTTTCTGACTCTTGTTTAAAATTTTAAGAGAATTTCAATTTTGGTTCCTTGGATATTAAGTTAACCGATTTTTTCATGTTTGCACTGTGTTTATTGGTAACATTCCCTTTTTCGTCTGGGACTGGACTGGATGGACCAGAAACCGTGTGTAAGACTAGCGCTCAGCAGCTAGTCCATAGAAACAACCCTAACCGGTAGTGAGTATATTGTATTAAGCCTGGATTAGCTTTTTCAAGAGCATCTCCAAGAGCATCTCCAAAAAAATTCTATATCTTTAAATATTGAATTTTTGATTCCTTAAAAAAATGAATTTTAAAATTTCAATTTAGAATTATGAGGAGTGAAATTCAAATATGACTCTAAATTTGAAGTTTCATTTTTATTTAAATTTTGGTCCTTACAGTTAATTATATATCACATTTATGATTTAAGTATATTTATTTCTCATTTTCATCCTTAAATTTTTTATATCACATAAATATTTTAATAAATTTAATTTTTACACATAAAATTTAATTTTTACACATAAAATTAAATTAAATTTTCTAGTAAAATTTAAATCATTTTAAAATTAAAACTAGACAACAAGAATATTTCGAAAGAAAGTTAATAATTTTTTTTAAGAAAAGGTACATAAATCATAATTATTACATAAATTTAAATATTACAATAACACTAATAGTCTGGTAAATTTGCTCTGAAACTTTCAAAATCTCCAATATTTTATCTGAACTTTTGTATAACCGAAGATGTAGCACTACAGAAATAACTTTATAGAATGATTTAGTATTTCACTTGTAATTTAATATTTAATTATGTATGTCTATCAGTTTTAAATTTTAGTGTCAAATTTTATTAATTAATATTGTTGTTATGTTTTTATATATGCACTAATTGTTTATAAAAATTGTATGGATACATTAGTCATAACAAATATAAAAACCATATAATAAAAAAATATTTTAAAAAGTTCATTTGAAGTTTTATTTTTGGAGAATAATAACTTTTATGCAAATAGAGAAGAATACCTTGAAACTTTAAAAACAGAGTTTTGCAAACTATAAAATAGAGAGTGTTTTTAGAGATCTCCAAGCGAGTACGAAAATCTTATCCAAAATACGAAGGGTCTGAGTGAGTTTAAGGATGTGGAGACTTCAATAAGCTTTCACGTTTAAAACAGAAGAAATGTTTGACCACAAATCTTCTGACTGGAAAGAAAACTAATTATTACGGAATCTTAAATACAAACTGTGCAACTTATCATTCTGATCGATTTTAATTAAGCTTGTGCTGTACAACAAAAGATTTTATCGTACATGCAGAGTCCCAACAAATCGGAAATACAAAAGTAATCTCTTTTAATTAAGTTTGTGCATGCAGAGTTCCATTTTAAAAAAAAAAAATACTAGTATTTAAAGCTTGGAAACTAAACAAAAGTCAGGAAGTGAAAAGGCACCGAAGAAAAATAGTTTTTAATGATGGATATAGAGCAGAAGAAGATATCGATTGAAAAGATGGAGGAAGTTTTCAAAGAGACAAAGGAAGAGGTGAAGAAAGTAACCAAGAAGATGGATGAAGATCTGAAGAAAGTAACCAAGAAGATCAATGAAGATCTGAAGAAAGTAACCAAGCAGATGAATGAAAAACTGGAGAAGTTGGAGGATACAATACAACAAGCACAAGAAGAATTGAATATGGTACACAGATACCATGTTCTCGAACTAATATATGTTTTTATTAATCTATATCTTTCTTTTTACGATTGCAGGAACTGAGAGATTTATTAGGTGATGGAGTAAAGAAGATGACAGAAGTTGATGAGAAGCCTTTGGAACATGCCATGTCTTGCTTGAAATTGGAGGAAGCCCTCAAGGATCCAGCTGATGCATCTGTAAGTGTACAAGTGCTAAACCAGCGTCCTAAGCGAGTGATAAAATCGACTCCAAGATACAAATGATCTGAGTGGGTGTGTAAGGCTGTGAAGAATGAGACTATCAATTGAGTTCTGATATTGAATATGCAATAATTATTAATAAAATAAGTAAGAAACTTTTGTGACAGATGTTTTCTTATGTTGAGAAACTGATTCAACTATGAACATATGAGTCCAAGTCTTCTACTTCTGTTAATTGGCTTTAATCTTGCACAGTATCCACAATGGTGCTTAAGGCAATGCACCCAAGTGCATTTCAACAATTAGTGTTAAGAAGCCCTTTTTCAAAAAAAAAAAAAAAAAACAATTAGTGTTAAGAAAAGAAATCCCATCGCATCCAAAAGAGTCATTTGTTGGAAGTGAACATATAGTAAAAAATAAATTACATGCGAATCATAAATTGGCAAGGTGAGCATATAGGCAAAAAACAATTTAACGAACTTTCACCAAGGAGGTGGGTCAGAACAGTCGAAAGGCAAGATGAGTGACAATTAATGCTTTGATATACTATATGTTCGTCCATATTAATTTATGTGTTTGGAGGTTGAAGTATTGACGAGAACTTGGAAGAGGTTTATGATCCATTGACCGAAACTGGTAGCCACTTTTGCCAACCACACTCACACCAGACTGGAGGATCCAAGAGATTATGGCAATTGATAGCTTGTCAAGACCATATTCTTGGACCAACTTTTGCTTTGTAGCTGAAGAGAAGATATTGTGTCGGTCGTTTTGTCACACTTTGAATTGATACGATATTGATGAAAGGTAGATTGAGAGAGGTTAAAGGCTGACTTGGACTGCTGCCGCGTTCACATGATTTTATATCGGTAGAAAATTCGGAAGAAGATTAACAGTTTGGTGGGTTTGTTACCACCAAAAAGATGTTTGTTTAAGAGACCAACCAGAGAAGAGCATTAGAGCATGTTTAATGGAGGTTGCTTAGAGAATTGTTTAGGAGGAGAGAAGTGCTTAATTTGAAGAGAAAGAGTTGCTTAGGAGGAGAGGAGTTGCTTAATTAAGCACTTTTCACACTCTCTCTCTTCAAATTAAGCACACCTCTCCTTCTAAGCAACATGCATTAAACATGCTTTTATGGAATCGTGGAATGGTCCCACGTTTTTCACGACTTGTGGCGGCCCGTACTTGATCTATTTATTTTTTTTTTTTTCTAAAAAAAAATCAAAAAGAAAAGAAAAAAAAATAATAATAAAAAAAATAAAAAGTTGAATCCAAGAGGGGATTCATTGATGTACATCTCTTATACTACCATGCAATTATATCAGTTATAAAAAAGTAAAAACGATAAGAAAAACATTTTAGCTACCGGCCAATATTTTCTAATAAACATTTTAGCGTCATATTAAAGAAGACTCAGAAACTGGGGACGACCCCAAACCCGCCGTAGACTCCCACGTCTCTTCCATCATCAACTCTTGAATCAGTTCGCTTAGCAAAACGTCCTTTGATCCTCGGCCTCACCTCGGCGTATGCTTTACGTGATGCGTACCTAATCGTCTTCTCAAACTTCCGATTCTTCCTCTTCTCTCTATACCTCAAAACCCTAGCCTCCCTCTCCGCTGGTGATAGCTGCACTGCTAGTGTTGCCGTGGTCGTAGTCGTCGTCACAGCTCCACCTTCAGGCACCAACGGTACATCAAAAGACGTTGACGTAACCTAACATTTCACAAAACTCAAATATGTCAATATTTTCAAAGATCTAAAACTAGTTTCATATCCACTTCAGCTAAACAAGAAACTAAAGTGTTAAGCAAAAAAAAAAAACAAGAAATAAAGATCGAGAGAGAGAAAAAAAAACTTACAGTTTGATTAGTGCAGCTAAATGCATGTGGAAAGGTTGTTTTGGAAGCTGAGATGTCGAAACTGAAGTAATCTTCGTTGAGAAACAAAGCTTTGGTCTGAACAGGAACGACTCCATCGTTGCCGGAGCTATTCTCAGACACCTCCATCTTCGGATCAGCCGCCGAGTAATCAAGATCCGCAAACAAGTTAGGTATCTCTACTCCTCCTCCTCCCTTGACACTCGGGTTTGGCAAGAGCCAAGAAACAGCCTCCATGCTCACGTCAGCTTCGTCGTTAAAGAAATTGCAAGCCGAGGAGGCGGATTTGGTGGTGGCTGATGATGATCCTACTCCCTGAGCAGGAGCGGGGTCGTAGAAAGGCGTGACGGGGACGCGCTCGTGGCGGCGGGAGAGTGGATTAGCGGAGTGGATGTCTCTGTCGCACGTGACGCAGAGCGCGGCTGCGTCGGCTTTGCACGTGACGTGCGCGGGAGATTGTTCGCAGACTTGGCATAGCAAGACTCGCTCGTGACGCAAAGCGAGTTTGTTAGCCGTGTGGATTTTTCCGTCGCATTGGACGCATAGGAACGCCGCGTCAGCGCGGCAGAACAGAGTCGCGGCCGCATATTTGCACGAGTCGCACAGTCTCGACGCCATTTGATTGATGTTTTTCTTTTCTCTCTCTAGTGTTTGCTTTTTTTTTTTCTGTTTAATTTATTTATGAGAGAGTCAGCTTCTTCTCTCTTGCTTTGCTTGACTATTCATGGTCTGGAAGTGGCGATTGTGGTGGACGCGCCGGGTGTTAAGTGGGACCTAGAAGATCTGAGGCTAGCTAATAGTGGGGTGACATGTCATCAAATCTTAGCCGAATAGTTGAAAATGAGGGACATTGCCGAGAAGTAGGGCCCAATATTGTAAGGGTGCATGTATAGGTTTCATGTTCTCACGGACTTTCACGCAAGGAAAATGAAAATTCGAAATTTTTTTTTTTGTCAACAGTTCGAATATAATTTACCTTTACATAATGAGTTTTCGAATCATAAAAGAGGTGTGTAAAGATAAGATAATTCTTCTCTTATTGTTTTTGTTTACCGGCCAAAATGATGAATGGACGGCTTTTATAATTGGTTCATTTTACACCATCTTTTGTCTGCATTTCATGTAACTTACTAGTTTCCAACGTGTTTTAAAAGATATTGGTTTAACATTTTTGTGTAATTATATTCATATGGCAATTTCAAGACCTTTTTTTGGATGAGTGAAAAGTAAAAGAGAGAAATGCAACTGATTGATAAAATCTAGTGGTCCACTGAGATTTATTTGGGAACAGAAGCATGTGTAAACGCCACACCGATCTTTAAAGCAAGAACTGTCGGTGTTCGTGTTTTAAATTAAATCATTTTTGGGATTATAGTGGGTTTTACTATCTAGACGTCTTCTTATTGTTCTAGGGGACTGCGAACTCGAACAATATGATTTGGAAAATATACAGTAAGTCATCTGCTAAACACTTAAAGTTCTTATACCAGTGAGTGATTCATTTTCTCATCAATCCTTTTTTTTTTGATATCGTTGTCTACCACTGCTGAGTTTTCATTGTGGCTACAAGACAAGCCCTAGAAAATCTTCAACTTAAAATAAGTACTAAACTTGTCATCACTATAGTAAAAAAAGGTTTTACCCTGAGCAATAAGAGATAAGCAATTAAGTGTTGATACTATGTCTGTTATATAATTTGGATTATATATTAAAATTTTTGGGGTATCTTATTAAATCTCCACAAAAATGTTCTCAGATATTTTCTTTTTGTTCAAATGTTCTCAGATATAACCTACAAGAAAACATGCTAATAAATAAAACAAGTTATATCTCTCATGGGTTCCAATCACAGATCTGTAGAGTTTCTTTCTCTTAAAAGGAAACAAAAAAAGAGTAATAAGTGAACATGTCATTGATATTAACTCTTTATAATGAAGAACTAAGCAAATTACTAAACATAAGTAAAGAAGAGAAGATACAATGTTGAGCGGATGACGAGAAAGTGAATGAAGATGACTCTACCCACTTCCTGACTTCAATGTATTACTCAACCTGAAAAGATCAAAGATGGACAAGAAAGATGAAGATTTGAGAGCCAAAACGAACATTGTTGTGAGCAAAAATGTGCTTACCAGTCCAAGCCCTCGAAAAGGCCCTCTCCTTTAACAGCACAAGTTTTGAAGATTGCCCATTGACGACTCTTTATCTTATGCAACTCCAAGGCTTCTGTCACAGCGGCATCATCGAGTGCACCAGGAAGATCCTGTCCAGTTGGTTCAGGGAAACTCAGATCAAGTTTCATCACCAGTAATATTTATAACGCATAAAAGACAAATTACAGCGAGAAAATAAAAATTCTAATTCATTACAGAAATCAATACAGCTGTCAGATGTATCAGGCAAATATTATTCAGAAGAACTACCATTATTACTAACCTGCTTGTTTGCAAATATGAGAACCACCGCACCTTTCAATTCCTCTTCCTGTAATCAAGGTACAGAAGAGAGCCAGAGTTAAATGAAGAAAATGGAATATTTTAAGATTAGATCGTGATATCTATGGAGAGATGATCATTTGTTGTTCACTTCGGGCACTAACCTAAAAGCAGGCTTGTTTCAAAAAAAAAAAAAAAAAAAAACCTAAAAGCAGGCTATTTGAGATACTTGATAGGAAAAACTAACAAGCGTCTAGAACAATTCTTAACAACAAAACTAAATCAATATACGTGGCCAGAAAGCTCTTCCTGAACTATCATGAAAATAATTCAACAGTATAGAAAGAGGAAGCTTCCGCAGCATTTTACCTCCAAAATTGCATGAAACTCCTCCTTTGCCACACCGATTCGATCTGTATCGCTTGAGTCAACAACATAGATCACTGCTTGTGTATTGGGGAAATAGCATCGCCAGTATGGCCTGTTACAAGAATCATTAGAAATTATTAATATAAAATGCAAACAGCACAATCTTGATGGAGCCATTTCTGTTCTTCATGCCTTCACAGTAGAATGCAATTTTATTTGTTTCTAAAAATGATAAAAAAAAAAGGAGCCATTTCTGCTACCTGATGCTCGTTTGTCCACCTGCCCACATGAAAGCTCTAGTTAATTTATTGTCTTCAGCGGAACGTTGCATTTATTAAAAAAAGTGAAACCGAATCCATATGTAAGAACCTACTGAACAGAAAGCTTTATATACAAACAACACATGCACTTATGCAGGGCATTCAAAACAACCTAAATAGCAAGTAAAACGTGGTACTGATTAAATCATCACATTTATTAAGATAAACAAAGAGCTTTTTTGTCAACCCATATCCAACTAAATTGAATTTCTTACTGCCTGGTTAGTCAGAAGAGCAATATGATGGAACATAAACTGCAGCTACTCATCATCATGACGGATATGTAATCTAAAGTGTCCAAGTCAAACAATTTCCTGATCACTAGTTATATTATTAACTGATCCATAGACAGACGTTCTAGTGATTCACATGTGTCACTCAATCATCTGCTAAGCATGGATCCAGTCAACATGGAAGTAAGACTAAGGGAATGATGGTATCTCAACACATTTTGTATGGAAACGTACCTAAATCCCAGACCTGGAACTTGATATTGTTGTACTGCACAGTCTCGACGTTGAATCCAATTGCTACGAACCAATAATAAATCGCAAATTAACAATTATCAAAAACTCAGAAATCGCGTCAACTAGATCCAGAGAGATGAATTACATACTTGGAATCGTGGAGACAACTTCCCCCATCTGAAGCCGATCTGTAATTAAAATCTGAAGTCACTAAATAGACAATTTAATCAAACAAAATACAAGAGGTAGGAGGGGGGAGTGATGTGTGTTACAGAGGATGGTGGTTTTGCCAGCATTGTCGAGACCGAGGACGAGGATACGAGCTTCTTTGTTGCCAAACACTGAAGTGAACATCCGCGTGAACAGGATCCCCATCTTCTTCTTCTTTTTTCTTGTGATCAGATCAAACGATCTAAGAGAGATTCTCCAGGACCATTCGACCTTCAGATCTTTCTCTTCTTTCTTTCAGAGTTACTGAACGCTGATTGATAACTATCCCGAGAAAATGGACGACAATATACGTTTCTTAATTCATTATATTTTCATAAAATTGTACTCTAAATTATATGTAACTACTAATAATATTAAAATTATATTTAATATTTAGTTAGACGAAATTTTAATTTTAATTATTTTTAAATATTTATATAATATTTTCAAAAAGTAAAAATTTAATATATATATATATATATATATATATATATATATATTAGTGGCTAAGTACATTTGTAAAGAATGTTTTGGTTTAGAATTCTTATAAGTATTAAATTATACAACAGTGTATATAAATTAGAAATTATAAAATATGTTCAAATATTTATAAGTAAAATATCCAATTTTAATTTCAATATATAAATATTTTGATTTATTATATATATATATATATATATATATATTAGAGTATTTTTGATTTTTAAAAAAATGAACCCATCCATAATTGCAGCTTATATGAGTTTTGTAAACCAATGAAATTAAAAACGCAATAAGTTCAAGTTTCGTTAAGTTCACAAAAAGCAATAACATCAATTCATGTTATGTAAAACACTTTGACTACATATATGCTTAACTGTGAGACAGGATTAACATTTGACGGTTGCAGTGCGCACACAAATCTAATGAATCTTTTTCTTCATAGTCCATACACAACAAACATTCAAATAAACCAGTTGCTTAGTTTCTTTTGTACTTATTCAGACACACTGGTTGGGTTAATTGTATCTGACTGGTTAGTTGCTTGGTTTATTTCCTGAGTGTTGTTGTCAGGCATGTGTCGGTTTGATGAACACGAACATTTCTCCACCCTGTTGAGGTACGAATCTCTATCTGGTTGATTAAACTCTTGCCACAGATTATTCACTTGACTCTTCTTAAAGAAAAAGAAGCTGAATTTCCCGAGGGTGAAAACACACATCGCAAAAGCGATAAGAAATAGAACCCAAAAACTGTCTACGCCGAGCTGCCTAGATTTTGTAGAAGGATTTGGATCCGGGTTGGTGACAGGATCATGGCAGGTTTCGTCTTTCGTTTTGAATAATGCTTGCTCAAGATCCCTCCCTTTGGTTGACTCTGCCACTTTTAGGATGGCTCTTGACACATCAGCAACCAGTGGTGATCCAATTGGAAACACCTGCAAAAAAATGGGACTTACATTTTAGCATTTGGTTTAGAGAGTGTAACAACAGTTTTTTTAATGGAGACTTACAAAGCCGAATCCATCAACGCTGAAGGGTTCTTCAACTACTTGATAAGCTTTGCAGTATTGTCCAAGAAAGAGCCTCATGTAAGGTACTTCCATAAAAGCTGCAGAGATACCGCCATTTTCTGGTCCTTTTCTCATAAGTTCATCGCAGTTTTCTGCGGTGTCAAAGGGTATGAGGCTAGATGGAGCGAAACCCGCTTCCTTGAGTTTCCCAAAGATGAAAGATGTCCTTGTATATCCCACCTTTTCTCCTTTCTCAATCAATTTTCTCATGCTTGTTATTGTTGGATCAAGTTGCCGTGTTGTCAAAAGAGACGCCAAGCTGGCCGTGTAACTTTGAGTCAACACGAGCACAATGAAGTACCATGTGATAACCAGAAGCCTAGCTCCAAAGCTCAACACTCTTTCTCCTGCAAACCGGAACTGGACAAAGTAAGCATTAAGGAAAGTGATATGCTGAGATGTAGAGAAGCGAGATTTAATTTACTTGGAGCAAAAACCATGGTCGAGAATGCAAACCAGAAGATTGTACTAGCTTGGTATTTAGCTGGTCCCCGAAAATCCGGGTTAATTCTATGTTCAACAAACCAAACAGTAAAGCCAATAAGGAAGAAGAAGAAAAAGGAAGTCATCCACAGTTTCCATGTTAAAGGCTTCAAGAAACTGATACTGTCTCTTTTCACTTGGTCTTCTACAGGGACAATCAACCCCACTCCTGATTTAGTGTAAGGAAACGTGAAGTCGACATAAGACGACCTGTTTGCAAGTATAGTCGTATCTCCTAC